GTGTGTAATTCTGACTTTCAAATAAATAAATAAATCTTTAAAAAAATAAATAAAATCTTTTTAAGATTTATTTATTTGAAAGACAGAGTTACAGAGAGAGGTAGAGACAGAGAGAGAGAGAGAGGTCTTCCATGTGCTGATTCACTCCTCAAATGACCGTAACAGCCAGAGCTGAGCTGATCTGTAGCCAGGACCCAGGAGTTTCTTCCAAGGACTTGGGCCATCTTCCACTACTTTCCCAGGCCATAGCAGAGAGCTGGACAGGAAGAGGAGTAGCCGGGACTTGAACCAGAGCCCATATGGGATGTCAGAGCTGCAGGCTGGGGCTTTTAACCCGCTGCACCACAGTGCAGGCCCCAGTAAACAAAATCTTTTAAAAAATATTCACTTCAGTAAGGGCATATGAGTGAAGCACATATTCCAGTCCCAGAGAATAGAGAAATGATTCTGTCCCCACCTCTCTGCAGCAGCTTGAGGCTCTCATGGTCTGGGGCATCGGGCATGAAGTGGATAGTGGAGTCACTGGTGTCATAGTAGGCAATGCCCAAGTGTCCTGCATTCCACAGCACACACAGATGGATCTGTCCCGTGAGGAAGAAAGGAAACCGATATGTGAGGCACTCATAAGTGTAGGGCATGCCTTAATCATCTTATCACATCTCCTGGTGGGGGGTGAGGGAGATGGGTGACTCGCCCAGCTGTTCCCAATACCCCTTTACTTTAACACTGACTCCCATCAACTCCCTCCCTCCTGCTCCCCACAGGCACCTCGGCCAGTTCCTCCTCATCTTCCTCCTCACCCTCCACCTCCTGGAGGCCTGGCACTGGGACAGCAGGGCTGGGGAAGCTTGCCGACGATGCTCCCAGTCCTGGTCCTTGAGGCATCCTGCCTGGGATCACTCCTGTGGACGCCATGGGCTTATAGGCTGTGGGGATGCAGAAAGCAAAGGCGAAGGTGGGTCACAAGCCCATGTCACCCACCAGAAATGCAGACCTGCTCGGAACCTGTGAAAGAGGGTGCAGGGCTGAGGGGTGTGGAGAGCCATGGTGCCAGCTACAGGGCATTTTCAGGGAGCGGCTTCTCAGGTATTTCTTTTTAAATGTTGAGAAAGAAAGTGCCGGCAGCCACGTGGGATGCCGGCTGAGTCTGAGGCTGCTCCACTTCCGATCCAGCTCTCTGCTATGGCCTGGGAAGGCAGTAGAAGATGGCCCAAGTCCTTGGGCCCCTGCGCCCACCTGGGAGACCTGGAAGAAGCACCTGGCTCCTGGCTTCGGATGGGCACAGCTCCAGCCGTTGTGGGCATTTGGGGAGTGAGCCAGACCTCCCTCCCTCTCTCTCTCAAATGAAAAAAATCAACAAAAAGGGGGGAGGGAGGAAGAGTTCTTCCGATGCTGGTTCACTCCCCAAATGCCCACAACAGGCAGGGCTACGCCAAGCTGAAGCCAAGAGCTTGGACTCCATCCGGGTCCTCCAAGTGCGTGAAAGGAACCCCACACTTGGGCCATCATCTGCTGCCTTGGACTGAGAGCGGAGTAGCCGGGCCAGAGCCCAAACCCCAGTGTGGGAGGGCGTCCCGGGCACAACCGCCACCCCTTCAAACATTTCTGTACAGCGACAAACTCCTGCGCCCCACCCTCACTTCTGTCAGGGGAGGTGGAACTTTGGAGGGAGGAGGGTGCTGTGGGCCGAGCTGTGCACGTCTCCTCGCTCTCTCTGCCAACCACGCCCTAGCACCGCAGCCTCAAACTCTTGACTGCTCCTCCTCCGCCACTAGGCAGCAAGTCGCGGCGCGTTCCCGCCTTTTCCGTCACCTGAGTCAGGACGACAGGCCAGCAACCAACCGCCACGAGCCTGAGGGAGGAGCGCACGGCAAAACCGGGGATGCGCGCGCACACGTCCCGCCCGCCGAGCCGCCATTGGTCACAGGATTTCCGATCCCTCCTAGAGACTCCAATAGAGAGAGAGGGAGGAGGACCGCGTGGCCGAGTCTGGGCGCTGATTGGCCTATTTGCATTCTGGGCGGTGCCCGAATATTCAAACTTCCCGCCCTCTGCCGTTGCTTAGCAGCCGGGCACCGGCCCGGGGCGTTTCTGGTCTTTGAGGAGCGTGGGGCGGAGCCGTCCGGAAACTCGGAAGCGGAGCTGGACGCCGGCTCCGGAAGGGGTCTGGGGGCGCGTGGAAGACTAGGACGAGCAGGCTGGCCTTAAAGGGCCAGGGCACCTTTTTTTTCTCTTCTTGCGGGAAGTGGAGATAAAACATTAATTCAACCTGTGCCAACGATAACTCTAACTTAATATTTGTAATCTCTGAATTAATATTTATAAAGCGCTTGGAACAGTGCCTAGCAACCAAGTAAGAGCTTCGTGAGTGTTTAAACAAGTGGTAATAAGGACTCCTATCTCAGCTCTACTCTGCCGGTTTCCTGCGTGCAGAGGTATGAGCACCTCAATAAGGACCCTACAAGGGCCTAATTTGTTCTTTCAGGACCCCAAGAAGAGGTGGAGACATTCGAAATATACCGAATTTGGAAAAACAAGTAGATCTGATAAGAACACCTTCACCCCTACACACACGGCAAACACACACCCCGAAGGACAGAAGACAGTGGTTCATTCGTTCAACTATTTATTTAATGCCTATTCTGGACTAAAAGTGATAAATGTAAGAAGTCCCTGCTCCATGAAGCTTATTTTTTAGTGTTTGGGGTTGAGGAAAGGAGAGAGGAGGTTGTGAGGAAGAAAGATATATACTTTTTAAAAAAATCCCCTAAATACATCTTCCTCCTGGGTTTTGTTCTTGGTGCCCTGAGGAGGAGATGCCACGGGAGAGGTTAGAAAGATGATAAGGGTGAGAAGACCTGGCTGTACTGACCAGTGATCGCAAAATCCTCTCCAGCAAGATAAGTGGAGGAGCAGAGTTAAAGGGCTGGGTTAATGGTTACCACTGGCAAATGGTTGAGCAATGGAACTATGGAAACCTGGGGGAGGCTGGTGACAGCTCTGGGGAGTGCCAGGGAGGGACACACCCTCAATCTGGGGTGTGAAGAGATTAGGGACTGGTTTACCAAGTCATGAAGAGAGAACGAAAGAGCAGATACTGAGTTAGCACAAAAACAGAAGCAAGGAGATGGGGGGGGGGGTCCTCTGACACAGCCAAGATTTAGTGGTGCAGCCCCTGGCCTCACTGAGGTCCCTTTGAGACAGCGCTGGGTAGCTCCAGGAGAGGGCACCATTGCGTGTCACCTGGGAAATTCAGGCACACTACCTTGTGGGTAGCCATGTCAGCCAGCCAAAGTCAATATTGGTGGATCAAGGCAGCTGTGGCTATAGAGATGTAGAGAACAGAGAGGCAGGAGAGACTGCCAAACCTGTCTGAGCCTGAAGCTGTCCCCCATTACCCACAGTCTGTCCCGGAGGGGAGGTCTTTATGGGGCAGATCTGGCGGTCACTGGCTAATCAGAATAGGAGAGGACCTGGGAATCCCCCGCCCGCAGGAGGAAGGGAGGGCCTGTGTGCAGATTTTGAGGGTAACCATGGAGGGAATTCACACACACACACACTCCCATCCTCCACCCTTTTAGGCTGCTGGAATTCACGGAGCAAACACCAAGTATGCCTTCTGTTTCTGAGGATGCCAGATAAGCTTTCCCCCAGGGAGGAGAAAACCCACAGAAGAGGAAGCCCAGGAGGAAACCACTAACTGCTGGCTGCCAGCAGTGCAGCACCCCACCCCACCCACTCCTCGCCAGACTCCCTCCTCTTCTTTACGTTTCAAGGCCGGTTTGGCTTCCACGGTCTCGTGTTCTCCCAGGTGTTTCTGGGACTGCAGGTTTTTTTTTTTTATCAGGCAGAAGGAGGTGAGGAAGAAAGAGAAACGATGCTTGGACAGAAGAGAAACTCAGGACAAGGAGGCTGGAATAGGTCTTCTTTAGGGGATATATTCTAGGGCTTTTTTTTTTTTTTTTTTTGGAAGCAGGTCATAAGAGTTTGGTAGACCCTCCCCAATCAAGGTGATGGGGAGGGTGAGTGCTTCCCTTCCTCTGTCATTCCTACTTCTTTGTGTGTACCCAGGATGCCACTCATGGCACTCTGATCTTTACTTTATTCCCATGATAGGACCAGATAGCACCGCACCCCCAGGGTCAGTGCAGCTCCATCCTGGATAACCCCATGCATGCACCTCATGCCCCAGGCAGCCAGCCAAGGAGGAGAGGATGGGGGGCCCAGAAGGGGTCCCAGGATGGGGAGCAGAATTGGGAGCACTAAAACTGGTGCAGGCCTCCCCTGCACTGAAGCCTCATGGCTCAGCGCTCTGTGCCCTAGCTCAAGGCCTCCTCTCTCCCTTCCCGTCTTCTGCACCACCCTTCACGGTGCCCTACTCCCAGTCCCTCTGCCATTTCCAAGTTCTCCTCCCAGGCCACAGTCCTAGCAACCCAGACTCAGGACTGGCGCCTGGGAGGAATGCAGAAGGAACGACCACCTTTCTGTCCTAAGATCCTGTCTCTGGCTCTTCAAGGGCGTTCCCAAGCTGTTAGCCAGGGTGAAGTGGGATTGTCCGCTGATTAATGAAGCAGGGAAACTGAGGCAGGAAAAAAATGCCATGTGTGTTCAGGAGAGGTCAGAGAAAGAGTTCCCAGGACCCTCTTCCTCCTCCCCATTTCTGATCTTTAGAAGGACCTCCCCTCTGGACCCACTCCCTAGGTCTCCCAGTCCCGCCCCCTCCAGTCCCCTCCCCAGGTTCAGGGCGGGGCTGGCCGGTGAGTCAGCGGCTCTCTGATCCAGCCCAGGAGGGGACCGAGCTGGCAAAGCTGGGCGTGGGGTGCACTGGGCCGGTGAGGAGGCTGTGTCTGGAGGGAGAGGATTTGATCAGGCTTGTGTGGCGCTGAAGGGACTGCCCTTGGTCTGAGGGAAGAGAAGCCCCGACCGTGAGACCGCCTTCCCTGGCCCCGGCCCCTCCCAGTTCCCCCAGCGACTGCTGCTTCCTGGTCCCCGACGCAACCATGGCTGAAGAGCAACCACAGGTCGAACTGTTCGTGAAGGTAAAGAACACCTCCTCTCTCTGGGCCCCGGCCGAATTCCTGGAAGCCAACTCTCGGCTTTCCCCAGATCCAGCTCCGACTCTCCACCCCTTCCCTCCTTCACCCTTACCCCAAATTCCACGTGCAGTCTTTGTGGTGTGCGTGCGGAAGGAGAAGCCCATTAACTTTGAGAGGGGAATGGGAGTTGTAGGATAAACCCTGCAAAGTTTGTCAAAGAGATGGAGGAAGGCACGGGAAAGGGAGAGTTCCCAGGAGTGAGACGGTGGGGAGGGGGCGGGGGCCGGCAGGGCTTGGGAAGGGCAGCTAAGATCGGCAGGTGCGGGGGTCCAGGAGGAGGTTGGCCTGGGAAGAACTGGTGCGGTGGAAGGAAAGGGAGAGGAGAATGGGAGTGGAGTTCACGGGGCAGGGCTGGAAAGCAAGGCGTGACACGGAACAGCTAGCTACACGACTGGGGAAGCGGCAGAGGGGAGCCGGTGGCCAGGGGCTGAGTTCCGCAGGAGCTGCCCTGAGGTTAGGTAGGGAGAGCTGGGTCAGGGCATTCCAGATATGGGAGTTGTTGGAGACTCGCCCCAACTCTGTCCTCCCCGTGGGGAGGGGGGGGGTTTAGGATGAAGAGAGGTGGTCTCACGGCAACTGCGTGTCAACACCTCGCACAGCCTTGTCTGGGTCCGCCCCACTCCCCACCCCCGCCCAGCCCCGCATTCTTTCCCGGCCTGGGACCTGAGGTCCGAGCTCCTCCCTCCTTCCTCCTCTCTGCTCTGCTCGGTTCGCATCGCCCCATTGGCACCTTCTCCCCACCCTCCACGTCCCTGCCTCCTTTCTCTCTGCTTCCCCCTTTCGTTCGTCTCATCCTTGTGTGTTCTTGTTTCTCCCTCTGCTTTCGGCAGCCATTCCCTCTCCCTGGGCCCGCCCCCTTAGGTGTGGTCCCCACCTCACTCTCAACCTGGCCTCCGGGGCTCTTTTTCCGCCTGGGTGAGGCTGCCCGCAGAGGTCCTGGCCCTGAGTCCTGTGTCAGGAGGATTATCTGGAGCCTGAGGAGACCCCTGGCAGGGGGACCTGGGGCTGGGGGCTGGAGGGGTGGCCTTAGCTGCTCAGGCCTCGGCCTCACAGGTCCCTGCCCCCACCACTTCCTTGTCAGGAAGGAAGCTGCTGAGGCCGGAGACACAGAGATGAATCACCCTCAGCCTGGGGGGAGGTGTCCCTGGGGGGATGAGATCACCACTTGCCAGTTCCAGGGCAGCCCTCCATGCAGGGCCCCCCACCTCTGAGGACCCAGCTGCCAGAGACTGCGTGGATGGAGGTGTCGTAAGCTGGAGTTCTGCCTTCTAATCTCGCCCCACTTCTGTACTCAGACTCCATCTCATTCTGGAATCCAGGAACTGGGGGAGCGGACCTACAACTCCGGCCTCACCCAAGCCCCACACTCTTGCCTCTGTAGAATTCTGATCCTCTGAGTTCTCTAAGACCTGTTCCCCGCTGCATACCTCCCACCTGTCCTCAGCCCCTGGGCATCCAGAAGCCTGCCCCTGCCTTTGCCCTTGCCCTCGCTTTGACCCAGGCCCAAAGGTGGAGAACCCAGTCTTCTAGGTAGAGCTCAGTGAAGGGACAGTGTGTGTGTGTGTGTGTGTGTGTGAGTGAGATGAGGACACAGAAAACAGCCGATGTGGGTGGGGGCAGGAGATGCGGAGAATGACCCGGGGTTCAGTGGGGTGCACCAGGCCTAACCTTGGAGTGGGGGTTGCTTTTTCAGGCTGGCAGTGATGGGGCCAAGATCGGAAACTGCCCCTTCTCCCAGAGATTGTTCATGGTACTCTGGCTCAAGGGAGTCACCTTCAATGTCACCACCGTCGACACCAAGAGGTGGGTCCACTTCTGGTTCTCTTAACACCCTTTGTGTCCACCCATGTGAGCACACACACCCTCACCCCCCTAAACCTTTCCATCTTAAATTAACCCCCTCCTTCCTTCCATCCGGAGCCCCTTCTCTTCCTTTCTCCCTCCATTCCCCCTTTCTGGTTCTCCCTGACCCTCTCCGTTCCTGTCTTGATGCCCGGTCCCTTCTCCAGGCGGACCGAGACAGTGCAGAAGCTGTGCCCAGGAGGGCAGCTCCCGTTCCTGCTGTATGGCACTGAAGTCCACACAGACACCAACAAGATCGAGGAATTTCTGGAGGCAGTGCTGTGCCCTCCCAGGTAAAGGGGCACCTGGAGGCGGGGGGAGGAGCTGGGAGACTGGGAAACAGATGGCGCGGAGGCTGGGGCAGCGGAGCTGGCTGAGGCTCCTCCCAGAAGGGATCTTACCTGCTTTTTCCCATTGGCTTTCAGGTACCCAAAGCTGGCAGCTCTGAACCCTGAGTCCAACACGGCTGGGGTAGACATATTTGCCAAATTTTCTGCCTACATCAAGAATTCAAACCCAGCGCTCAATGACAGTAAGTCTTGTGGGTCAGAAAACCGAGTCCTAGGAGGAACGGAGAAGGCCCAGGCATTGGGATACAGCAGGGGCACCTGGGAGTTCAGATGTCAGGGAGGTGGAGCAGATATCTGCAGAACTTTCCCCCTCCTCCCTTGTCGGGCTACCCCTGCATTTCCCTGCATTCTCATTGGCTGAGGCTTTTAAAGGCCCTCTCATTTGTTCCTTAGCTTCTTTTGCCCTCCTGGGGACATTAGTTGGCCGTTGGTGTATTTTTCTGGAGAATAAGGTTATACTTAAGAACCATGGACCCTAGATCCAGACTACTTGAATATGAAGGTGCTTCTAAAAGTTCATGGGAAAAATGGAACTGGAAGTTTATTTTGGTGCAAAAAATTGGTTGAAGTCCATGAATAGTTTCTTCATGGTATGTATTGTCCACAAACTTGGTGAAGTACACCTGTAGGAATCCAAATAGCTGTGTGACTGTGAGAAATTCATGGAATCTCTCTGTAAATCCACTTCCGGATGTATCAAATGAGGTGACAATACCTGTTCCCTGTGCTGAGGTGAGACTGAAGAGAGTTTTTTGTTTCTAAAGTTCTTAGAATAACCTATAGAAAACTACATTAGCATTTGCTGTTTATTTCTGGAACTGTGTTGGGCTTCTCCTGATGTGCTGACCGAGCCTCCTGTCTTGCGCAGATCTGGAGAAGGGGCTCCTGAAAGCCTTGAAGATTTTAGACAATTACCTGACCTCCCCCCTTCCCGAAGAAGTGGATGAGACCAGTGCTGAAGATGAGGGTATCTCTCAGAGGAAGTTTCTGGATGGCAATGAGCTCACCCTGGCGGACTGTAACCTGTTGCCAAAGCTGCACATAGTACAGGTAGGTGGTCTTTGTGTCAGGAGGGGGCGACTGCTGGGAAGGCTCTTTAATGAACTCCCACATGAGCTTCCTGTGACAGCCACTCCAAAGCCGCCCATGGCAGACCCCACCCCCGAGGGAATTACATCCCATGATACAAGCCAGGCGTGCAGACAGGCTGAGAGGAACACATCCCGGTATGACCCTCAAGAATGCTCTTCCAGTCTCTGTATCTCTGCCAAATCCCCAGATCAGACACAGCAGCCTTTTCCTAATGTCAAAGCTTTAACTGTAGCTTCCGTCTCCACTTCCTCTTGTGCGAGATGAAAACTGCTGCTTCCTATGTCGTGTCTTAAAGCTGTGGTTTAGTTTGTGAAACATGGTCCATTGTCAGCCAGCCATGCAGGGGTGTCACGAACATCTGTGCACTAGGCATTGACACGAAGATGTGCGGTGATTGGTCCTTGCCATCGAAGGACTGAAATCTAACACAAGATGATGAAACATTTGCACTAAAGTTAATACACTACTAAAAGTCAAGTGAAAAATAAAGACAAAAGTCACCGTGGGGGTTGAAGGGAATTTTATGGTATGCGAGATCAGGGGACAAGCAGCATCATGGCCTGGGGTGGACTGGGAAAGGAGCTGGCTAGTAATGGCCAGGATTCCAGCACATGAAGAGGTATTACAAAAGAGTGGGAGCTGCAAAAGCTGATTGGAGAGGATTCATATGGGAGATAAGATTTGATAGGAAGAGAAGCCAGATGATGGAGATTCTTGAATGCCTGGGCAAGAAGGGGGGACTTTATCGTGTTGACCTTGGGAGAGGGAAAAGGTGACAGCATGGCAGGCAATGTGGCCTTCCTGGGACTTACACTTTGGTCTCTCCCCTGCCCACCCCCAGGTGGTGTGTAAGAAATATCGGGGGTTCACCATCCCAGAGGTGTTCCGGGGAGTGCACCGGTACTTGAGCAACGCCTATGCTCGCGAAGAATTCGCCTCCACCTGTCCAGATGATGAAGAGATTGAACTGGCCTACGAGCAAGTGGCCAAGGCCCTGAAATAAGCCCCTGCTGGGGCTCCCTCACCGGCTTCCATCTTCTCCACGAAAGCCCTGGGTGGTTTCCACATTGCTACCCAATGGACACATTTCCAGAATGGCAGAGGATCCTGGAGTACTTGTGTGGGCTGGGGTGGGCAGGGCGATGAAGGGAAAGGAAGGAGACCTGGATGAGGTTTTTATTGTGGGTGGGGTGGGTAGGACAACCGTATTTCAGTAATAAAACCCAGAATGAAAATGTGCCGTTTTTACACAAAAGGGTTTTGGAGTGTGGGTGACATGGAGTGAGGGGTGGGAGCGGCGATCTTGAGGACAGAGCGGAGGTCAGGAATTAAGAAGGGGAGTGTTTGTGGTGGGGCTGCCATTTTCAGTCGGTTCACCGTAGCGTGCTGTGGTCCGTGCCGCATTTGCAGCCCCGCCGCTAGGGCAGGCCAGAGCTGGGTGGGCCTGAGCTGTGCTCACCCGGGCGGTGCCGACTTCGGGGAAGGGGGGCGCAGTCCGGGTGGAGTGGGCGCGGCCTGGCAGGGCGGAATGGGCGTGGCCTGGGGAGGCCCCGCCCCGTCCCGCTTAGACAATGCCCCGGAGCCGCCAGACCGCCGCGCCCCCACCCCATCGTAGCACAAGAGCTCGCCTACCCAGGGACCCCTCCAAAAGCCTGAACACCCAGGCCCCGTGGCTTCAAGACTAGGAGTCCCTTCACCAACTCTGTCCTCTGGGGGTGGGGCCCCAGCCGAGATCTCAGCGCGGCAGGAGTGGGGGTGGCCGCTGGCGTGAGTATGGGGTAGAGGATGTCCCCTGGACCATATGGGGGCTGGAGTCTGGGGGTGCCCGGCCCGCGCTAGCATCCGACCAAGTGCACGGGGGGCCGGCATTTGGGTGCGGAGCTGGGCGGCTGGACTTGGGGGGGCCGTCCTGGATACTAGAGTGGCCCGCGCGCCCCAGAACCACGCCCCGTCTCCCCGCCCCTCGTATTTCGTTTTGGACCTCTCCCAGTCCTCCGGGACTCGGTCTGGTTTACACTGGGTCGCGCTAGGGGCAGCGTGACCCGCCGGGGTGGAGAGAGAATGCTTAACTCCTTAGGCTCTCGTTCCTCCGTCCCTGCGCCTCTCTCCCTTTCTCGTTCGGGCATCCAGCACTTCGGTCTCGGAGGCCCTGACTCTCCCCCCTCAGCTTTCTCCTTCTGTCCCATAACCCCTGTGGGTCTGTCCCCGGCCGGTCCTAGGGTCCCACCAGCTCAGAGCAGCTGAGGGTTAAGGGGGCGGGGCCGCTGCATTTTTGGGGAGTGAGCGCATCCTAGCGGCAGCCAAAGAGGGGCGTCCGGCAGGGACCCTATGAAGCCCCCGAGCAGGGGCAACAGGTGTTCTGCAGCTTAGGGATCACGGTCTTGTTCCTCAGACTCTTTTTAAAGAAGCCAGAATTGAGTGGAGTGAGGTCGACGGGAGAGGAAGGTCTGGAGGGGGTGGGGCGCGGTGGGAGGGGCGTCCGGCGATGGCCGGGGGAACACCCGGGCCGCTCTTAACCACCCCTCTACACCCCTCTCCTGAGACTCTGTCTCTGCCTTTCTGTCACTTCTCCCAAACAGGTGAAGCAGAAAAACAGAAGTCAGCACGACCGGACTGTGTGGATGGGATGGGAACGCCGGGGGAGGGGCTGGGCCGCTGCTCCCATGCCCTGATCCGGGGCGTCCCGGAGAGCCTGGCGGCGGGGGACAGTGCCGGGGCTGGCCTTCCGGCTCTGGACCTGGCCAAAGCTCAAAGAGAGCACGGGGTGCTGGGTGGTAAACTGAGGCAGCGACTGGGGCTGCAGCTGCTGGAACTGCCTCCCGAGGAGCCCCTGCCTCTGGGACCACTGCTCGGTGACACGGCCGTGATCCAAGGGGACACAGCCCTAATCACACGGCCCTGGAGCCCAGCCCGTAGGCCAGAGGTGAGCACCATGGCGCGGGCGTGGTACGGGGAAGGGTGGGAGGAGCTGGATGTCGCGGATGCGGAAGAAGTGGGAGCTGGGGGTGTTGCCACCTCCCACTCTCCTCTGCCCTAAGGTTGATGGGGTCCGCAAAGCCCTCCAGGACCTAGGGCTCCGAATTGTGGAGATGGGGGACGAAAACGCGACCCTGGATGGCACCGACGTTCTCTTCACCGGTGAGGCTGTGGTGCTGGCATTCCTGGGTCTTGGCATAGGGGAGCAGAGTTTGGGAGCCTGGACTGCCTTGAGCCTTGTTTCCAACTCATTCTCACCCTCAAACTTCCGTGGCTTCCCTGGGCTCAGGCCGGGAGTTCTTCGTAGGCCTCTCCAAGTGGACCAATCACCGAGGAGCAGAGATAGTCGCCGACACATTCCGGGTGAGGAGAGGGACCAAGCCGGGAGGGATCAGGGTGGAGGTGGGGGTTAGGGGAATGGGGGCACCGGCGGGGGTTGGAGGCGCCTGGGGGCCCTCTGGGAAGGGAGGGGCTCTCTTGTGCAGGTTGCGCCCCCTGAATACCTCCCCTTGTTCCCCCTAAGGACTTCGCCGTCTCCACTGTGCCTGTCGCAGGCCCCAGCCACCTGCGCGGCCTCTGTGGCATGGGAGGACCCCGCACAGTGGTGGCTGGAAGCAGTGACGCTGCCCAGAAGGCTGTCAGGGTAAGGAGGGGCGGACCTGGGTGGAGTAGGGAAGGTAGGGATCTGGGAGGCTTAGGGGGATGAGCTCCAACCCTGTCCTCACCGAGCTGCCCATCTAATATGGAAGAATTGGCAAGTAAACAGGAAGTTACAACAGCAGGAGAGGGAGCTAGGAGACCCCAGAACTGGGGCCATGCCAGGAACCTGCCCTTCCAGAGTTTCAGAAACAGCCCCGCAGTGGCATCCAAGCTGTGTCTGGAAGGATGGACGGGACGGACAAAGTGGGGGTGGGGGGAGGGAGAAGAGGGTTGCAGGTGGAAAGGGTTACATGTGGGTCCCGGGTGGACGTTAGCAGAGGTAATCTCGCAGCGTTAGCACAGTGTCCGACAAACAGTAAGCTCTCCGCAAACGGATCCCCGTCCCCAGCTCTCACTGCTGGGAGGGTGGTCAGGCTCAACTGGGGAGAACCGAACACTTCCTCTTTCCTCCCAGGCCATGGCCGCGCTGACAGATCACCCATACGCCTCGCTGACCCTCCCAGATGACGCAGCTGCCGACTGTCTCTTTCTGCGACCTGGGTTGCCAGGTGCACCCCCTTTTCTCCTGCACCGAGGAGGTGGGGACCTGCCCAACAGCCAGGAGGTGAGGGAGGGCAAGAGTTCCTCCACCCACAAAACCAACCAGAGGAAGGAGTCTCGGGCTTTCTTAGTGGGAGGGGGAAGGCCTACCTTTCCTAGAAGGTGGGGTGGGGGCCTCTGAGGCCTGAGGCTCTGGCCTCAAGGTCTTCCTCTCCCTCTCCCACTCTGTGTCCCCCTGCAGGCACTGCAGAAGCTTTCTGATGTCACCCTGGTACCTGTGTCCTGCTCGGAACTGGAGAAGGCTGGAGCTGGGCTCAGCTCCCTCTGCCTGGTGCTCAGCACACGCCCCCACAGCTGAGGGCCTTGACCTTGGGGTCCTGGCAGGTCGGGGATGGGGCAGCATAGAATGTAGAAGGGGGAAGAAGGTTAGGTAGAGGACGGTGAGTAGGTGGCAGTAGGGGGAGAGAACTCTAAAACTGGGGGGAGGGCATAGTGTGGGAAAAAGGATGGGCCTACTGGGTGAGTCCTCTCTCAGAATCAATAAACTAGAATTGGCTTTTAGACTGGGCTGTGGCTTGTGTCTTACTGGGGGGCAAAGGGCAAGCCAAACCTGAGGCTGGGGTCAGTGGTAGGGAACTGGGTACTTACTGACTCACTGCCCCACCCTGTCATAGGCGCTGGGCACCCGGGGCACAAGATAGAGTTTCTGTTGCAGAAGCATAATCCAGGGCAGAAAAGAAGCATATGGGTGGATCACTCCTTGAATTTATCTCAATAGCAAATGATTCAGACTGGTGGATTACCGGTCCACCCTTATTTGGTAGAGAAGAAGAAATGATGTCTCCAGGGACAGTCCCTCTCATTTATTCATTTACTGAGGCTTAGCAGTGGTACCAGAAGGGTCAGTCTCCTCGTCAGGGAGCTCACAGGGCACGGAAATGCCTTACACACGGAATACAGGTTGTGATGGAACAAGTCGCAAGAGGCTGTTTCTTTGAGAGAAATAAGGCAGTTCAAAGTGTACACAGTGGTGGGCAAGGAGGGGTAGGGGCGCAGGAACAGCTCTCCAGAAGAAGGTACACTGGAACTGAGTCCTGAGGATAAATAAGAATTAGCACGTCGGGCCGTGGAGAGAAGGGGGAGAGTCATCGGGCCAAAGGATTTGCATTAAGCAAAAGCGCATTCTGGGGCTGAGGAGGGCGCCTCTAAGGTTGGCATGCTGTGTGCGTGTGAGGTGTCAGCGATAAGCCGGGAGACTGGACAAAGCCAGGGCCCAAAGGGTCCCGAGAGACAAATACTGCAGGCTGTCAGGAGAGAGTCCCACTTGGGGAGGATCTCCCAGCTCCAGGGAGGAAGCCCAGGATGGCTGGACGACACAGTGGCTACGGGCAGCTCAGGAAGGCAACACAGAGAGGACATTCAGATGCCAGTGCTGGACAGACAAGAGTGGAGACTTGACAGGGACATTGTAAAGGTGTGACTCCATGGCTCACTGTGTGGGAGGGAGGCAGGAAGGGAGATCTATATGACTCCCAGTTTCTGGCTTGGGCAACTGGGTTGATTGGGCCAATGCAGAGGAGGGTTAAGAAACTGGGTTGGGAGATGACAACGCGTTGGGTTGCCCATGCTGTGTGCGCAATGCCTTGGGCCAGCCAGGCTCAAGGGACTGATTGGAAAGCCCAGGTCTGAGATCTGAGCTGGACAGAGAAGAGTTCTTGGTGTCACTTGAGAGGTGGGGGCTGTGAATGAGAACTTCCCAAAAGAGGGGGAAGGGAGAGAAAGCCTGGGGAGAATCTAGAAGGATGAGGAATACCCTGAGCGCATAGAGTGCCAGGAAGAAAAAGTCCAGAAAGAGAATGCCAGAGCAGAGGAACCCGGAGTTTAAACAAGGGAGTCATCAAAGGCCAAGCCAGGAGAACGTGGAAAAATAAATATCTCCACCAGGACATCCTAGCAGCCTCACAGAGAGCAGATGGACAATTTCAGAGGATGAGCAATGAGGATAAAGCCAAGGAGAAGAAAATAGAAGAGGCAGGTGTACGGCTCTGGCTCAGAAAGCTTGATTGAGAAAAGCTTGATTGGGAAAAGAAAAAAAAAAAGATGCTTGATTGAGAAGGGAAGAGTTACAGCACCTGTCTGGGAGCTGGGAGTTGTTGATGCCTTAAGATGGGGAGATGGGCTTCGATCAGGTTTAGAGAGAACACTGGTGACGAAGGAGGCGTGGAAGTTACAGCAGAGATGGGAGTAAGCGAAGGAGCAAGGTCAAAGGCAAAGACAGCCCGGACCTTGGATCTCCTGACTCCCAGTATAGCGCTCGTTTCTCTCCCATGGTACTGACCTCTTCTAGTTGAGGGACCAAGAAAGGGAGGGGGGTTATGGAGGGCGAAGGACTCTCAGCTTGGGTGGGAGTTTCTCTTCAAACCACAACCGCATACACTGTGGAGGCATCCCCAGGGACGGTTGTGGACAGCCAGCGGGGCCTCCTGAGGGCCGAGTGGTCCAGGTCGGCGTAGAGCAGGCTCTGCAGGAGGTAGGGAGGAAGGCGCAGGGTGGGGTGGGGTCTCAGCCCCCTGACTCCCTTGGAGTCCACTTTTCTTTCTTGGCTCACTTTCCTTAGGCACTCTGGCCAGTCCCCTTCCCATCCCCAATCCCTTACCGGCTCCTGGTCCAGGTCCCCTGGGCTGGTGGGCTCCTCCTCCTCCTGCTTTACTGGACTCTGGGGTTCCACTTTCACGAGTGGAGCTATGTGGTGGGACAGAGCTGAAGGATGAGGAGAAAGGAACCAACTTGTCTGCTCCCAGTGAGGGCTCAAACTCGGAAATTGAAGGGTTAGGGAATATGCAAGTGGGAGAAGGAGAATGGGGTGGAGTTAGTCTCACCAAAACTGGGGAGTGGTCGAGGCGGATGCGGGGGCGAGCGCCTGTAAGGGACGTACAAGAGTCTCTGAGAGTCACCAATCTGGTCGCCCAGGTTCTCCTCGGCGCCAATGACAACCCAGGTACTGGCAGGCTCTGGGCGGTGAAACGACTTGGGCTCCACCCCCACAGATAGGCCGGCCCACGCGCCCATCTCGCTCCGCCGCTCCAGTCAGGCCTCCTCGCTCCCGAGTTCTGACCTCTCCTGCTCTCCAAACCTCGCCCAGGGCTCCTGAGCTAGCTCTTAGCGAAGGTCTGGCCCTGCCCCTCCCACCTCTCTGCCACGCCCTTTAAGCCAAGCCCCGCCCCTCGTGCTCACCGGCGCCGCCACCAGACCACGCCCAACGCTGCCAGTCCCAGCAGCAGCCCAGCGCCCAGCAACGGAAACAGGAGCTGGGGATACACGGACCCTGGGGGAACAGCGTGGCGGGGAGGGATGCCGAGGTCAGGGGGACCATGACGGACCACTAGCGCTCTTGTTCAGGAAACCCCTGCGAACGTCCCCGGGCCTCCCCTGGGTGTGTGTCTGGGCTGAATCTCCTTGTGCTCCCAGGCCTCCACCAACCGTGCGTGGGCCCCTGGGCCCTGCAGTTGGCACTGTCTCCCAGCACATGAAGCACCGTGCGGCTCTCGTCCTTGTGGTGGCCCTTGCAGAAAAAAGTGCCCGAGTCCCCTGTGCTCAAGAGCAGCTCCAGCCACCGGATCCCGGGATCCAGGGAGCGTAGGCGGCCGGCAAAGGGCTGGAGCGCAGGCACCGTGGGTGTCCTGCCGGAAGAGGCCCAGAGGATTGGGCGGCGTCCTTTGGACAGGCCCCTGCATGCGGGGAAGCTAGGTGCCCAGGCCCAGCGGACTGGGTGTGAGACCCCCGCGCAGGAGAGATTCACGCGATCACCAGGGCGGCCGTCCAGGGAAGCTAGGGGAGGCCAGGGCACAGTAGTTAGGGCAAGTCCACAGAGGGAGACCACCGCCAACCCTCTCTTTCCTCTTCCCTAGCGCCCTCTTCCCTATCACAACTTCCCCCGGGGGGAGTGCTTACCTGCTTTGTCCCCCTGGGCCCTGGGGAGCAGCAGAGGCAGCAGCTGCAGAACCAAGGCCATGGCTGGGTTGTGGTGGGACCAGGCAGCAAAGTGAATCAGCAGGGACACGGAGGGAAGTTGGCGAAGGCGGACGCCGGACGGACTGGGGACTCAGATAAGAGCCAGGGCACTGCCACCAGCTAGCGGGGTCCCGTTAGGAATCCTCCCAGGCCAAGTCGGCCCTACAACAGCCTTACAGGAGCACGTGTGCCTCCCCAGCTCCTTCGTTGTAGGAGCGCCAGGGAACACCTGGAAGCCGGCTGTCTAACTTCCCCACCTGCTTAAGCTGAGCAATGTGGGCAAGTCACTTAACCTCTCTGGTCTGTTTTCTTTTCTATACAATGGGGTGAAAAGCACCTGTTGCATAGGGCTTTGTGAGAACTAAATAAAGCATCCCGGGTAAAGTGCCTGAAACAATGGCTAATAGCGAGGAGCACTAATTAAGTGCTTGCCTTTATCACTACTACTTCTGTTCTTATTTTAGCTTCCACCTCACCTGCCTGTGCCCACGCTGAACCTCCCCAGCTGCAGTGCACTACCCAAGTCAGCAGGTTTTCACGGGGGAGGTGCATCTGAGCACATGCCTATGCCCCACACCCAAGACTTCAGTGGCCCTCACTGGACTGCAGCCACCAAGGTCCTGCCAAGCCCAAGTGGAGCTAAGGTTCTGAGAACCTGCAGCAAGCCCGAGGCAGCTCCTCCTCCTTAGTAGGCAGGCTGGCTGTCCTGGGAGGTGGCCCCAGTCCCCACTTCTGCTGCTGTGATGTCACAGAAGCCTCCATGAAGTCACAAACCTTCCACCCTGTGGCTGAGCAGGAAATGGGGAAGGTCCAGTGGGGACAGAATTGATCTCCATTGAGAGCCTATTCCTGCCAGCATGCACCTGCCAACACCCCCCAGGGACCAAATCTGGCCATCAACTTGGCCACATCTATTGTCCATTTCCCAGGAAGCAGCAGAGGCTACCACCATGGCCGCTGAAAAGCACAAAGGCCTTTGATGATCCTCCAGAGGACTGGGCCGTCAGGGACCTCAGGTGGGGTCAGGAGGCGTCTCGGCCTGAAACCAGGAACCAAAATAAGAGTCCCTCGTGGCGCCTCCCCTCCCCCATCCCTCACTCCTATGCCCACTCCCTACCTGGACCTGCTCAGCCCTCCCCACCCCTTGTCATTTCCCCTGGTCAGCTATGTGTAAATGGGGAGGGAGGTGCTACCAGAGGCAGGGAAGGGAGGGGCCTTCAGGAGTATAAATTCCAAAAAGGCCTCTCAACTCCCAGAGCCGGATCGCCCCGAAAATCCATCCTGCCGGTTGCTGCAACGGCTGCCACTCTCAAGACCCTCACAATGAAAAGCCTGCTGCTGTTCACCCTGTCCGCTCTGCTCGGCTGGGTCTCAGGTGAGCACCTGGGGGCCCCAAGAACCTGGTTCACCTGTCAGGCCCTTTGTATCTTGCCCTACCCGTTTCCCTATGTCACCCCACCGCTCAGGTCCTCCAGCACCCCCAGCCCCAACCGGCCCAGCTTTTCTGTGTCTCCAGGACCAGGCCTCCCCGAGACATGCTCTTGGCTCCAAGTCTCAAGGACTCAGGTCTCCATCTGTCACTCTCCCGTCCAACCCCTGCCAAGGCTCCAGGGTTACTGTTCCTCACCCTGAAGTGCCCCCTTCTTGGAAACTCTGCTATCCAGTCCCCCGGCAGCCCATTCCAGGTCACAATTCTCCAGGATGCGGTTTGCTGGCCTGCTCGATCAGCTGCTCTCAGCAGGGTGTCCCCCTACAGACCAGGGCTCCTTCTGAGCCCCACCCGCCCCATCTACTCCATAGGGGATTTAGCTACTAAGCCACTGCCCTTCCTACCTCCCCCTGCTCCTCCCTGGGTTGCAAGCTTTCTGGATGGCTCCAATGACCGATTAGAACCTCCCAAGGAACACAGGAGTGTTCCTGAGCCTTCTAGAAAGGGGACACCAGGAACACTCACACCAGAGTGACGTTGGCTTCACTGACTACACTCGGCAGGCTCCTTCTGCTTGGACTGACCTCCCCCACCCGCCCCCACCTCACCAAACCTTCCATGCCCCTAACCTTGACTTAGCTGAAGCAGGAGCATCCAAGTGTTACCTTCAGCACCCAAGCCGCTCTGCTTGGCTGAGGTGCTAAGACAGAATCTAGTGATCCGTCTCCTAGATATTACGCCCTCCTGCCGGAGAGCTGGAATGAGAGGATTCCATTCAGGTCTGGTTCCTCTTCCCACGCTCTTGGCAGCCCGGACAGGTGAAGAACAAATTGCTCAAGGTACTCACAGGTGCATTTTTTTTTTTTTTTTTTTGCCAGCCTCAAGTTCCAAGCCATTTCTGAAAGTGTGTACCCTCTATAGTTTTTATTTGTCAAGTTTCTTCCTATTTCAGATCTCCGTCTTCTCTCCCGTTCTTCCCCTACGGCATCCTCACATTCCATCTATCCCCTTCCTGTGTTTTCGTTGTGAGCTGTGTCCCTCTTGACTCATCCACAAACCGGGTGGAGTAAGGGAAGATATTTAGGGTGCGGCCCTTCCAAAAAGCAACAGCTCCACCCTCACCTGCCGCCCACTTTCCACTTTCGCCGCATCACTCACATGCTTTGTCCATTTCAGGCTAAACAGGACCCAGCACCCACTTGATGTGCTCTTCTCTGCCCTTCCGCCACCCCCGTGCCGCTCCCAGCTTAGCTTATCCCCCGTGAGTCAGACACCCCATCACCCCAGTCTGGCTTTTGTCTCCCCAGCTGACATCCGCTGTCACTCCTGCTACAAGGTCCCTGTACTGGGCTGTGTGGATCGCCAGTCCTGCCGCCTGGAGCCAGGACACCAATGCCTGACAACGAATGTGTACCTCGGTAACACCCCCTCCTTGAGTGGGGAGGGAGGGCAGGTGGAGACCCAGTGGGTGGGGTTGAGGCCCGACCGGGGCTTTGGTTGAGACGGGACAAGAGGCTCACAGCAATGATAACATGTGACCTAAGATGATTCTTGTGCCGGGCACTAACCTGTCTTTGGATGCATTGTTTCAACTCATCTTCATGACAGCCCTATGATGTGGGTGCTATTATCATAATGAGCAAACAGCCTCAGAAGGAGATAGTAGCGAGCCCAAAGGCTTGCAGTCAGCAGGTAATAGAATCAGGATGTGCAGGCGTGGGACAAGGAAGTGCAGAAGTAAGATTACACTGAGAAGAGATAAGGACCAGAGTTAGGAAGGAACCAAGGCTGGGTGAGTGCCACGTGCCCCTCAGCTGATCTCCCCGTCCACTCCCCCCTGCCAGGTAAGATGTGGGTTTTCTCTAACCTGCGCTGTGGGACACCGGAAGAGCCGTGTCACGAGGCCATCAACCAAACCAACCACAAGCTGGGCCTGATCTACAACACCACCTGCTGCAGCAAAGACAATTGCAACAGCCTGGCCCCGCGGCCCACTGCGGCCCTGACCGTGGTCTTCCTCACCTCCTTGGCTGGCCTCGGCCTCTGGCTGCTGCACTGAGACTCACTCCATGGCTGCCCCTCTCCCCACGTGCCTTAGCGCGAGCCTCTTGCCCTGCGTCTCCATAGCCCCTGCCTTCCCAGGCGGGTCTCTCTCTAGCTCCCTTTGTTCTGAAAAACATCTACCAGTCCTGTCCCATTTCTTTAAAGACACAGGGCCCCAGAGTGCTCTCCCCATGCACCCCGTCCCCTCCACTCTGCTTTCCCAGAGTCCTCTCCCATTTCTCTCTGGACCACTCTAGCTCCTCCATTGGCCCCTAGAAGCGCTCCGCAGTTGCCCTCCTGCGCTGGGGAGGGATTGGGATCTGGGCCTGAAATGGGGCTTCTGTCCTGTTCCCAGTGATGCATCCCAGGAAGGACCTGACGACCTCACGGCATGGGGCGGATTCTCCAAACTCTCGTTCCCATACGTACCCCATCTCCATACTCACCATTTCCCATTTTGAGTAATAAACGTCTGTGTCTAGCCAATTGTGTATTTATTGTCAGGGGACCTAAGTGTCAGCCCCCCTCCCAGGAACTAACACACTCGGTGCCCGGCCCTGACCCAAGAAGCCTTCATGGAGGTTCCCTGGGAGGCTGGGCTGGGGCAGACAGTGGAACAGGTTTTTCAGGCCTCCATCTTTCCTTACAGTCTGAGGGTGGCACACAGGCCCCAGTGTTGGGGAAAACAACCCTTATGCTACAAGCAGGCCACACCCCTGATGTACTGCCAAGAAGGAGGTGCAGCCTCGCTGGGGACTCCCCAGAGCTGGTTACTAAGGGGCCCACCGAGCAATTCTCCTCTCATAGTCCTTGCATTTCCCTTCTCAATCCAAAATCCTCCTGTCAGGAGGAGCAAACAGGGCAAAGGGGAACCAAGTCAGACAGCCAGGGTCACAGAGTCCTCGTGAGGCCCCTCAGTGGCCCCCACTGCTAAGGAAGATCCGCCTAGCATCAGGTCCTTCCAGGTGCCACTGATTTCTGCACTGTCCTTTGGGATCTGAGTGGTTGAGGACCGCACCAGTGCGAGATGCTTGGAAAACCCCATGCTAGAAGCGGAATGCCCCTGCTTTACTCCTTCAGCCCTCCCACCAACAAAAGATACATGGAATTTTCCAGTCAGCTCTAGCGTGGTTTTAATGGCTCACAGAGGGAGTCCCTGAGATGTTCAGTTCTCCCTCACTCCCCTGCTTGCTCACGCCCTTCCCTGCCCCTACCCCCGCTACCCGCTCCACAGTCCCGGCAACAGCCAGGCCAGGGTGGTGGCTACTGCAGCCCAGATGCATGCTGGAGCCACGGTGCTTGCCACGGCGCTGTTGCACAGGTCTCCGAAGCAGCAGTTCCTGTGGGTTTCATAGGTCACGTCTCCCACCGACTCCACTTCTACTTGATTGCAACGATGCGCAGCCACGCAGGCCGGATGCTGATGGCCCAAGGTCATGGAGGCTGAGAGCAAGAATGAGACTAGGGTGTTGGACTCCTGGCTTCAGGGCTTGCATTCTGAGGCAGATGTGATTCAAGGAACCCAAAGGGATTCTCTGCGCCCCCCCCAAAAAAAAACACTTCCCTGGAGTGTGGGGGGAAGAAGGGAGGGAGGGAGGAAGGGAGGGAATACCATTGTGTTCTTAGGATTTTATCTACAAAGCACATTGAATCTTTAAAAAAAATAATTAAAAATTAAAATAAAATACATTTTAAAAAAGAAGAGAAATTGAAACAAGCCTCTGCCTGCAGCACTGGCATCCCAAATGGGTGCCGGTTTGAGTCCCAGCTGCTCCTCTTCCAATCCAGCTTTCTGCTTATAACCTGGGAAAGCAGTGGAAGATGCTTCAAGTTCTTGGGCCCCTGCGCCCTTGAGGGAGACCCAGAAGAAGCTCCTGGCTCCAGCCTGGCCCAGCTCTGACTATTATGGTCCTTTGAGGAGTGAACTATCAGATGAAGACCTTTCTCTGTTTCTCCCTCTATCTGTAACTCTGCCTCTCAAATAAATAAAATCTTAAAAAATAAATAAATAAAAGATCTCTCTGAACCGAGTGATCACTTGGTTGTGACTGACCTTGTGTGACAACCACTGATGTCACCTCAGGCACTGGGAAGGACACCACTTCTGTGGAATTCCTGCCTACAACACGTGATTTCAGACTCATCGTGAGACAATATCCAAATCAAGGGACTTTCCATAAACTGACATAGCATACAAACAAAGAGTTTTTAAAGAACATAAAATAACCTATCAGGGCTTTAAGACTGAGAACGTGCAGAGCATGGAGGAGACCAAGAACACGAGAACTAACCGCAGCGTGGGATCCTGGTCAGGGTTGTCGGCCAGGGAAAGGACTTGAGTGGAACAACTGGCTACATCGAATAAAGCCGAAATTAGTTGATAGTATTGCACCAGTGTGACTTTCCAGTTGTGATTATTGTAGGGTTACGAGAGAGGATGGCCTTGGGGGAAGCTGGGTGATGGATGTGCAGGAACTCTCTCTACTACTTTTGCAATTTTCTGTCAATCCAAAATTATCTCAAAAGTAGGAAAAAAAAAAAAAAAACAAACCACCCCCACCCCCTGATTCTTAGCTGATCCCTGACAGTCGAATTGCGGCTTCACATTTTGGTCCCTGCCTTCAAGGGGCAGGGTTTTCTCAGATATGAATGAATGTGGCCCGAGAGATTTTGTTCTGGAGAGCACAGGGAGGGAGGTGGGAGCACCGGACTGTGGGCCATCGGGTGGCTCAGTGCCAGGAGCCAGAAGGAGGGCAGACTGCTCTGCTCCAGCAGCGACACCATCTGCCCAGGCCAGGCTGAGCCTGGAAGGTTCTGGAAGGAGTGGGGGAAGGGCGGGGAGGCTGGAAGCAGGGAAGGGCTGAAGGAAGAGAGAGAAACTGAGGACTCACGGTTTCCAGATATCTTGACTTGTCCCAGGCCTGGTTGGGGTTTGCGGTCCAGGAAGCCACAGCGTTCGCCCTCGTCACAGGTGACTGTCACGGTCTCTTTGCAGGAGCTGCTGGGGCCGCTGCCGCCACAGTGGTAGCATCGCATGCGGTTTCCTGGCAGGAGAGAAGAGGCGCTGGACCCGGGCCCTCAGGGCTGGCAGAGTGGGGGCGCCAGTCTGCATGAGAGGGGCCTTGGCCACCTTCTTACCCAACGCTGCCCCCAGCAGGGTGCCAAGCAGGATCCACAGCAACTGGGGGTTCATGGCGTCTGCCTGTGTGAGCAGCTCTTCTCCCTCCCGCCCTCCCCCCTCCTGGCCCTGCTCTGTCAGCCTTATATCCCCCTGGCCCTGGGCTTTATGGGGCTTATAAAAAGGGAGGAAAGAGTACCCCCCCCCGCAGGCACCAGGGGCCCCATGGGGACTGGGAGGGGCCCCACGGATGCTCTCAGCACCCTCTGGACCACGCCTAGGGATCCCCAAGTCCTCCTGTGGGTCCTTGAGGGTCTTCCTTCTCCACTGCGTATCTGTGTGAGATTAGATTTTCTTCCTATTCTTCAACCTAAGCGACATATCCCATCGAACACACTGAATTCAGAAGCAGTTGTAAGTAGCCAGCCATCTTCGATTAAATAGATTTGCAAAAATGTAAAGCTATGCCACTCTTCTCACGGTGCTGTTGGGAAGCAATGATTACTTTTTACACAACTATGGTCTGTCAATGTGATAGATGGGTTACTTTTATTTTTTAAGCCAACCAATAAATATCTATTCAACATATTCTGTTTAGATGCTTCATGTTGTGACTAGTGATACAATCCACATACAGAAAACTCTGTGGCGTCTTCAGTAATTTTTAGGAGTCTAAAGAGAGGCTGAAATCAAAGTTTGAAAACCACTGGGCACCTGTGTCTCCCGGTCCCACCCCACCCTCAGACTTGCTGCTTCTGGAGCATTGCAGGCCTGATTCCCCAGCTGCAGCTCTCTCCCTCCCAACATCTGAAATCCCAGGATCCCAGACTCTCCCACACAGCCCCCCACCCCCAAATCCCTCCCCACACCTCCGCTCTGAGTCTTTGGATCCCACCCTGGTGGAAGTGCATCTATCCTGCCAGACCCACCTGTGATTCATTCAATCCTGCAAGGTAGTAAACCCGTGAGGGATAATTATGGAGCAGGAATGTTGAGGCTTGGGGAGAGGGGGAGGAATCAAAGGGATCCGAAGCTGGGTGGGGTCCGCCTGCCACAGCTGGGCTTTGTATGTGGGGTGTGGGGGTATTGCTGATGGTACACTCACAACACCCCGCCGTCTGGGTCAGGGCTGTGACCTTGACAGACACTCCACGCACCAAGGGGGAAAGGGAAAACAAAGACAGGGCGAGGAGTCAGAGCAGAGAACAGCTTGAGACGGGGAAGGAGGGGGAAGAGCTGGAGGGAAGGTGACAGACACTATTTGGGAGCGGCAGACGGTGCTCTGTGGCACAGACACACTGCAGGAAAACCGAGAGGACCCTCGGGGCAAGGGCGCATTCAAGTTGGGGGCAGGCAGGCATTGTGAGAGGGGAGGTGCAGAGCAGAGGCTGCAGAGTCTGGTCTCAGTTCCGCCCCCCAGATTCACTCCCTAGGTGTGTTTGTTTATGGGTCCTCCCTGTTCGCTCCAGCTCTCAGGGTGCAGCTCATTCTCCCAGACTGCGGAGCCCTGAGCCAGCCATGGGCCCCACCAGCATCTTCCTCTGCGTCCTGTTCCTCTCTGGGGCACTGGGTAAGGGTGGACCCGGCAATCCTCAGGGGACAGGGAGCTGGGGCCGGAGGGGAGGGGCTGGAAGAGGCCAGGAAGAAAACTGGGGGGCTCTCGGGAGACCAGGGCCTTGGGAACAGCCCCAGGCCAGCCCGAAAGGGAGGAAGAGGAAAAGTTACCTTCATAGGCTTTTCAGAACCACTGTCTTCCCTGCTGGCCCTCGCCTGCCTCTGTCTCCCCATCCCTAATCTCACATCTTGCTTCTTTGCTGGGCTCCTCTGTCAAAGTCGTGTCCTATTTTCTTATCTGTCTCTGGGCCATCTACTTAACTTTTCACTTCCTCCCTCCTCCTCCTCCTCCTCCTCCTCCCGCTGGCTCTGGCTTCTGCCACTCTGAATGCCCAGCTCCGATTCTCTTGGCTTCTGTTTATGTCCCGTGTGTCTCTCTCCATGCCTGTATCCCTCTCGTCTCTGCCCTTGTTTCTCTTCCTGCTTTGTCTCCCCTCCCTTCTCCCTGCCTCTTTTTCTGTCTGCCCTTCTCCCTCAGTTCCATGGCTTCCCTCTCTCTCAGTTGTGCCACTTCTCTCTGTGGATCCCTTTCCCAGACCTAGGCTCTGCCTCTCACGGGGAGTGTTTGCCTCTCCCCACTGCCCTGATCTGTGCTGCCCCAACAGGTCTCACCACTTCCCCTGCCCAGGGCCGGCTCCGCTGTTACACCTGCAGCTTCGCCAAGCCCTGCTACCCTGTTCCCACCGAGTGTCGGGAGGGGGAAGCTTGTGGCATCAGCACAGGCACCTCAGGTAGGAGTCCGGCTCGGTGGCCCCTCTCCCTAACGCCCTGCCTCCCTCTGTCTTTCCTGCTGCCCCACCTCGGTTTTCTCTTCTTCCCCACAGATCAGAACGAGATCATCCAACGGAAGGGCTGCCTCCCACGGGCACAGTGCCTTCTGCCGGGCCGTGCCACCTACTGGTCACGCTCCTATATTCTGCGGCACGAGTGTTGCGAGCAGGACCTGTGCAACACGGCCACCAAGCCGCAGGGGCTCCCCAGCCTCCTCCTCCTCCTCCTCACCCTGCTCCTGCTCGTGGCTGGCACCGCCTGGGGAGGCGCCTTCCTCCGCTAGCCCCATGTGGATCTGCAGCCCGCAAGCCGGGACTCCTCCACCATCAGCAGCGCCCTACAAACACCTGTACAGACACTCCTGAGGCCTGCTCAAGAACCTGATTCCGGACAGAGACTTCAGACCCTTGAGCCCAACACCTTTGCAGACCCCTTCCACTATCTGATTCCTAAGACTCCAGCCCCTACAGGAACCTGCCTGGAACCCAGGCTCATAAAGGACACTTGTTCTGTATCTTTTGTCTTTTGGTGTGTGTGTGTGTGTGTGTGTTAAAGATTTTTATTTTATTTTATTGAAAGGTGGAGTAACAAAGGAGAGAAATATCTTCTATCTGCTAGTTCTCTCCCCAAATGCCCACAACAAGCCAGGACTGGGGCCCCAGGAGCCCGGAACTCCATCCAGGTCTCCCATATGGGTGGCAGGATGGCCAAGTACTTGGGCCATCCTCGTCTGCCTCCCAGGCCCATCAGCAGGAAGCTGGATCAGAAGTGTGACATAGCCAGGACTGCATCCAGGATGTGGGTATCACAAGCAGCGGCTTCACCTGCTGTGCAACAACACCTGCCCTCAGTCTTTCATCTTTTCTAAATGCCTGTTGCTGATTCCCCCAGGTTCCAGGCAGGGCAGGCATTTCGACGGATTTGGGGGGTCCCAGGCAAGAGACTTGAAAGGGCACCAGGTTTGGCGAGGAGAGTCTCAATGGGGAAGATTAATCTGGTAGGTGGCAAACTCAGGGGCGAGGCCTTGAGAACCGCGAAGAGTACATTTCATAGCAGGGCCATCTGGGAGCCTGGGGATGGGCAGTGTGTGCACTGTGCATGTGTGTGCGCCTGTGTCCTAAGGGCAAACCACAGCTGCTTGGCCGGTTGGGCTGCAATGCTGGACCCTGAGCCAGATGCTCCCTTTCCCCTCATTCTCCATCCGCGTTGTTAGGCTGCTCTGTCCCCTCGGAGCACAGCTGCATTGTGAAGGCTTAGGAGAAAGCGTTTCCCCGGTGAGGCCCAGGCGTGAGCCTCAACACAGAGGGGCACATGGCGGAGCTGCCTGGGAGGGTGTGGCTGGGAGTCCGGCTCCTTTCTGCCTGGGATCGGGGGATGGCCGCCTTGGGAGCACCAGTGGCCTTCCCTGCTTCATCAGCCCAGGCTTGTCCACATTCCCCAGAGAGCTCGGCATAAACCACCCCTTGGGAATCCCTCTGCCAGCCCCTGTGGACACGCCCTCCGCGGGGGTGGGAGTGGGAGATAGGGTATGACCCCTGGGTGGCAGGGGAGTCAGGAGCTGCTCATGTGCTCCGTGGTTCAGACTCCACAAGGAGCGCCATGGGAAGTGTGCGTGCCCAGGATAAGGAGGGTGTGGGGAGGGGCCCAGCCCTGACTCAGCTCCGTCCCCTTGTCCCCTTCCATCGGAGGAAGTCCTGGGGTCCCTGAAAAGTGCGTGTTTCCCCTGTGCTTCCGTTCTCAGTGTGGAGAAACCTGGGCGGTGAGGGGCCGGGTGTCTGGCTTAATTTGGAGGCAAGCTGAGCCGCCTTCCCATTTTCTCTGTCCCCCGGTTCCACTTCGTGGTTCTATTTTCTCCCTCTGTCCATCTTCTCCCTCCTACTGTGACTTGAGCCTCAGATTCCCCTCCCACCAGTTTCCCTCCATTGCTCGAATCTCTGGATTCCTCTGTCTCCTCCCTGCCCACTCCCTCCCTCCCCATCCTCACCAACGGCCCCAGACTCCCTTCAATCCCATAGTCCTCTGGGCTCAGGGCATCCCCCAGCCCCGGCTGCTACAAGTCAGGAGAGCACACTGTTTTGTAGGTGGCATCATAGAATAATGTTCCTCCTTTCATTCACCCAACCCGAAGCACGGCTGGGGGGAGCTGCTGGAGACAGCTGGATGGTGAGGTCACCTCCTCTGCCCCTCCCCCCTTGACAAGGTTTTCAGGGAGACAGCGGGTCACACTTCCCAGCAGCAGATGTCACCAAGAATCACTTGATCTTGTGGGCTGGTGGGCTGTGGGGTTTACAAAGCAGGGAGACAGATAAACGATGCCTCTATTCCCCTCCCCAGGAACCAGGGGCTCATCCCCACCCCAGCGCCAGCAGGCCCCCTCTCATCCCCAGTCCCCTTGGGGATTTAAGCCTCTGCCCCCTCATTTTTCCTCACCTGAGATGGGCCAAATGGATGTTCTCATAGACCTGGATTTCGGGTTTGAAGTGGGGAATCGAGACATCTGGGGAGGAGGAGACACATGTGGAGGACCAAAGAGAAGTCCCCAATAACTCAGCACTGTGTCCCCTACCAGCCCCTCCCAAGAGAAGAGCCGGCACAGAGCCCAAGCCCAGCCCTCTTCTGCCCTCTGGGAGGGACGGACTCACCTCTGCCTTGAGCCGCCCTGACCCTCCGCCTCCAGAGCAGGACGCTGAGGGCCAGGATGGCGAACCCCTGGCCCACTATGAGCAGCAGCATCAGGATGCGGGCCACGTCCCAGCCCACGGAAGGGGCACAGAGGACAGGAGAGGCATCCACGAAGGCTATGGTGAGGGCGAGACAAGACAGGGAGGGAGGAAGGAGGAGGGAGGAGGGAGGGGCTCCCTGAGCCCCAGAGAATTCCTCGTCCCACAGCAGGTTTCATGAACTTCCCTGCCCCGACATCTGCTCCCTCCCAGCCCCTCCCCAGCCACTTTGCCCCTCTCCAGGCCCCTCTCCCTGACCCCACAGCCCCTGCAGACACATGGACAACTAACGCCAGAGATCACATCACAGGCCGTGACTGCGCTGTCCCCTTCTCAGGACAGACAAATGCCTTCCCTCCCTTCACTCCTCCGTTCACTCTCCGAGCCTTTGCTGGGTTCCATCAGCCCTGCAGCGTGTCAGGCAGGGAGGAGGCAGGGGATGCCCCTTCACTGGCCTCTGCTTCCTGAGCCTATGGCTCTCTGCCCCTCCTTCCTGCATTATAAACGGGTTATTCTATATCTCGGAGCATTCATTCCCCGTATAATGGCCTTACTATTGTAAATCAATTACATTTTTTCTCTTTCTGCCTTCACTGTCAATGGAGCCATTATAACACCAGTGCATACATCTTTTCTTCAAAAGACAACTCTTGGGGCCCGGCACTGTGGCAGAGCGGGTAAAGCCGCCTCCTGCAGTGCCAGCATCCCACATGGGTGCCGGTTTGAGTCTCGGCTGCTCCACTTCCGATCCAGCTCTCTGCTATGGCCTGGGAAAGCAGTAGAAGATCGCCCAAGTGCTTGGACCCCTGCACCTGCGTGGGAGACCTGGAAGAAACTCCTGGCTCCTGGCTTCGGATCGGCACAGCTCCAGCCATTGCAGCTAATTGGGGAGTGAGTCAGTGGATGGAAGACCTCTCTCTCTCTCTACCTCTCCTCTCTCTGTGTAACTCTCTCAAATAAATAAATAAATCTTAAAAAAAAAAAGGAAGAAAAAAAAGACAACTCTTCCAGCAATCATTCTTACCGTCTTCCTCTCTGCTATGAGAGCCCACAGAAATCACAGATCACTGTATTTTGAAACAAGATGGCGCACCAGGCAATGGTCGGCTCCACCAGAAGTCACTCCTGACCCGGCTCGATTTGCCTCCTATCCCACCTGCTTCCCTGACCAGCAGGTGGGAGAAGAGCTGGGGGCAACAGCCCTGCCCACCTGCTCCCTCAGTTTACCTGCCAGGCTAAAGCTGACCCCTTTGTTCTGAGACACGAGGCAGCGGATGATTCTCGGTCTACGGCCCCTGGGCTCGGGAGGTCCCTCCCCGGGACACACCAAAAGCAGAGCAGCCCCCTCACTCCAGAATGACTGAACACGGCCCCTCACGGGACCCTTCCCCTCCAGCCAGGTTGCAAAGTCCAGGCGTCTCGCAGGAAACACAGAACAGAGGAGGAGAGAGCAGGAGGACCCATCGGCAGCCCTTGCAGATAACTGGGATCCTGTTGGGGGGAGGGGAGAGGGACAGCTTAGCTCTTGCGCAGGGCGTCCCCCTTCTCCCCGCAGGCCACTGCTCTGCACACCCCTGCTCACCTTTGAGCAGGGAGACATCATACACCCTCCAGTTCTGGTACTTGTAGCGCTGACCCAGCACCGCACACCAGTACCTCCCAGCGTCTCCCTCCTGGGACCCCTCCAGCCAAAGAGAATAGTTGCCCAGCAGCTTGGCCCTGGATTCCCTTCCGGTTTTCCTAAGGCCAGCAATGAACTTGGTGATTTTGACTTGGACCACCATGGTGGTAGAGGAGCCTGCAGCAGAGCTGTGGAACCAAGCCAGGATTTCATCTCCATGCAGCGTGGGCGGTGGGGGGCAGGGCAGCTCCAGGGCCTCCCCCAGGGTCACATAGGCATCCCGGATGTTGTCTGTGGGGAGAGGGTTGTGTGAGGCCAGAGACCTCCATCGAACGGACACCACGCCCTGTTGCCAACTCGACCTCCAGCCCCGGGCTTCCTCCCACTCTGGGGTTCCCCAGCCCTGCCTTGGCTGGTGGGCACATTTCTCTAGTAAGCTTTCCTCCACACGCCTCGGCATCTGGAGGGCAAAGGCTGGGATATTTGAAATGCCGGCATCTCTCCCAGCATTTACTCATTGGTTCTTGTTTTCTCCAGGAAACTCCACCCATCCTCCTTCCCTCCGGGGCTTCCCCAGCACGGGAGGTAGAGAGTTCAGGCGGGGTAATGTATCTTCCTGACTCAGGTGCCTTGCCCAAGCCTCAGGAGAAACAGCAGCTGTCCCTGTCCAGCCTTGAAAATAGCTGAGGGGTCCCCCTCCTCCTGCCGCTTACCTGCAGCAGCCTGGAAGGGCCAGTGTAGGAACAGGAGGAGGAACCAGACTGCCATGGCGAGAGCCTGCCAAGGTCTCTTGCTCCCAGCCCCGGCGGCCCCAGGGAGGAAACGGGCCAGATAAAGGCCCCGGTCTGCAGTGACATGGCCTCTGGATGGGATGAGAAGTACCCACCACTGTTCCTTCCTGGGGGGGGGGAGGGGGGGGGAGGACGCCGTCCGTCCAGGCTGCTTCAAAGATGACCTCCTCACCCCCTGACTCCACTCCAGCTGAGAGACTCAAATCAAGATTTTCCATGGGCACCTGTTCGAGTCCCAGCTGCTCCCCTTCTGATCCAGCTCTCTGCTATGGCCTGGGAGAGCAGTAGAAGATGGCCCAAGTCCTTGGGCCCCTGCACCCATGTGGGAGACCTAGAGGAAGCTCCTGGCTCCTGGCTTTGGATAAGCTCAGCTCTGGCCATT